GATTATGAGCTCCTATCGCAATCGTCACATTCAACAAATGAGAACGACCACAAGATGAATTTGAGATAGTAAAAGGGTAAATTTCACTTAAACAGCCAAAAATTAGAGGGTTCTGCACATAACCTCAAGAACTTTGTTTATTCCAAAGCAGCCGTCTTGAACTTTAATGGGTCATTTGCCAAGCACATGATAGTAAAGAATGACATAACCCCTCAATTTATTAAAAATTCCCCTTTACCCTTTTTTTCATTTTGGGGTTATCTTCCAAAAATGACATTTCAATCATTTTCAAAATTAACAGGAAATTACATCATCGCGTATGTTCTAAAGCTTCAAAGTGCAAGTAGGTCAAGTGAGACACCACAAAGTTCAAGGAATTAAGTGAATGTCAATGTGATTGTAATACTAGTTCCTGTAAATGTCACCTTCAACACAATTATTGTTAGTATAGTTTGCAGCGATAGACAATCTGATTGTAATACTAGTTAACAGTGATGTGCATAGAGATTTTTACTAGACTACTTGCCCTTATCCTTTCCTCTGGATAGGAAATCCTATAAGAAGCCTACACAATGCCATGTTCTAATAGCCAATTAGGGGGGGTGAAGGTTCTAAATTGCTTCCTCTAATTCAAATGATTGACTGAGAAGTGAGAACGTTTCACATAGTGTAGAGCATTCTGTTAGGACTTAGGATCTCCACTCTTCTCTCTCTCTCTCTCTCTCTCTCTCTCTCTCTCTCTCTCTGATTTTTCTATAATTTCCTATACATTACCTTTATCTCGCACAAAGTTCCTATGCGGGTGGTTTAATTGAATAAGACACATCTTACTGTTGAGTGTTGCGGAAGTCAAAACCAAACCAACGTGCTTCGAGAGACCAAATCAAACAAACGTCGAGAGAAGGCCAAACGAACCAAATCAATACCATAAACACAAACAACCAATTTTAACGTGGTTCGGCAAGTTACCTACGTCCACGGGTAAGAAGGGGATAGGGTTTTTCACTAAAAGAGAAGAAGAGTACAAACTGAGATTACAAATCACTCAAACTCACCAAATAATCTTACCAATAAATCTCTAATTCTCTCCAAACAAAACCCTAACCAATAGCTCAGAAAATACCTCTTTGCTATGCTCCAAATATCCCCAATTTTCTTCTCAATTCTCTCTTCCAATTGTTCCATATATATAGAAATCCTAAAATCATAAACATACTAGGAATTCTAAAATAAAAAACAAAACAAATTAGGAATCCTAATAACTTGTTACCAAAACAAATTAGGAATCATGTTACCAAAACAGATTAGGAATCCCAATAACCTATTACCAAAACAAATTAGGAAACATATTAGGAACCTGCTATCCAACAATTCTTCACCTCGGTGAAGTTTTCCCAAAACTGAGCCGACATCAATACCAATAAAACGTCTCACTTATTGCGTCTAGTACGAAGTGGAACAAATCAACGACAACGGAGAAAAAGACTCAATCCACAATAAGTCGAGAACCCAAACGAGAATGCGTACAAACTCCAAATATCGGTATCAACTCACCAAACCGGCTGCATAATAAATGACTGCCTACGTATCCTCTTGCCCAAGGAATCAAGCCTTCACGTAGTTCACCCAAACGGCCTCCAAAGTCCCTCAATCAAATAGAAAAGTTTGTAACTCTTTACCAATATCACCAACGGATCTGTAACTGATAGCGCTCCCAATGGCCCCAAACTGAAACAAATCAAACACCTCCACCTGAGGTGAACCAATGGCTGTATCCAAAACATGTCCACCAGCTGCACTCGAATCCAAAACCAACTCATCATCTGCATCCAAATCCAAATGATCTCCAAACTGTGTCACCTCAGCTAGAATCCCAAACAATATAGTATGATCTGGAGTATGTAGAGCAATCTTCACCCAATATGAAGTAACATCACCCTCCACCCGCTACGATATCCTAATGATCTGATCAATACTCTCCACCTACCGAGAGTCAAATGTGACATACCTGCTCATAAACAAAATCAGAAGCTCCTAATTGATAATCAAACGAACCTCTGAATCCCAAACGTGCAATCGGATCAAATCTCACATCCTCGATGTGACCAAATGCTGGGTAACCAAATATCCGACGCAACCCAAAATCTGAAGCAGATCCAAAATCTCCACAAGCAGCAGTCGACAACCTATGACCAAGATGACCCAAATATGTCGAAGCTCCAAAACCAAAACCAAAACCAATGCTCGACAACCAACACCGATCCTCCTCCAGTAAGGAACGACACATCAAAACTGTTATCTCATCTCGTCACCCCAATGTCTCCACATCAATGAAGTGTCTCAAACTACCATGAGCTCGGCACAAATGCAAGAAAGAACCCCTGCCAAAGCTAAAACGATGGGTTACCTTTATGTCAATACACTTCTTTCAATTGTTGTTGACTTCTAGGACTTCACACCAACGGGATCTAGTTGCAACCCACCAATGCTTAGAACAATCCCCAACTACGGAAACCAAATACCGATTACCTCCCAATGATGCCTCCTTGGAAGGCCCCCAAATGCCTGACTGAGCACCACCTAAAAGTCCCCTCGATCGATGGATAGAAGTGCCAAACTCCACATCAGTCTTCTTGCTCATACACATGTGCTCAAAGGACTTCAATCTGCAGGTCAAAGCATTCGTCAACAAACCATGCACGGCATAACCAATCAAATAACTCAGCCTCAACAAATGCCACAGTCTAGCCAAATCCAAAGAAGTCGTCAACTCTCTATCAAACATCGTGCTCCCAATCAAATAATATAAATTATTCCTCCTGACGTCCTTCATCACAATCATGGATCCCAATATGATCTTCAAACGTGAATCGACCAAGGTCACCCTATAGCCTGATGCCTTCAAAACTCCTAGTGAAATGATGTTCTTCTTCAACTGAGGAACGAACCTCACTCCAACCAACTCCTGAATCATTCTGTCACTCATCCTAATCCAAACAGTACCGATACCACCAATAGGACATTCATGATCATTACCCATGAGCACGACCTCCCCTCTTTCCAACTCCTGAAAGCTGGAAAACCAATTCCTCCTAGGACAAATATGGTAAGAAGCACCCGAATCCAACATCCACTCTGTAGAGTCGATAACACAAACTGACGGTAGTGCAGATAACGAGTAGCCCGAAGAATCTGAATCTAAATTATTATCACTAGCATTGACAACATTCACTTCTGAAGCTTGAATAGCTTTTCCCTTATTCTTCCCGGCTCGATCAACCAACTTTGGACATTCGGCTTTCCAATGTTCATCATCTTTACAAAAGACACACTGATTCCTACGAACTCCAAGATGTGCCCCTCTAGACTGCGACCTCCTACCACGATTTGGACTCTTTGCTCTTACGACTAATGCCCCCGCTACTGGCTCAACTGAAGTCTCCTTATCCTTCTTTCGAAGCTGATAATTCACAAGTGTAACAGTGACCTCACTATAAGAAAGAGATGTCTTCCCATTAATAAGAGTAAGAACGAATGTCTCATATTCCTCGTCAGGCAAGGAACTCAACAACAACAACGCATTGTCCTCATCTTCAATCATCACATCTACATTCACCAAATCCGTAAGAAGCTCCGTGTAGTGCTTTATGTGATCACCAATGGAGGTCCCATTCTTCAATTGGAAGCAATAAAGCCTCCTCTTCAAATGCAAATGGTTCTCTACACTCTTGGTCAAATACTTGCCCTTTAGGATCTCCCAAATCTTCTTAGCCGAAGTCTCATTGATCACATCATATTTTAAATCTTGAGTCAAACAAGATCTAATCACACCACACGTCGTTCTATTCATCTTTTTCCAAACCTTCTCCTTAATGTCGTCCGGTTTCCCGTCCAACTCCAAAGTATCTTCTAAATTTTGCACATTGAGCGCATCCAAGACTTTACATCTCCAAAGATCAAAATTGTTTGTGCCATTAAACTTCTCCACATCTATCTTTATAGAGTGGATATTCAAACTTTGGACGGTCTTCACGCCGAAAGTACGCCCCACAACTTCTTCTTTCCCGACCATCTTTCTCAAAGCACCAAAACAAATGCGGAACAAATAAAGAATAGATCCAAAACTAAAAAAGATAGAGTCTTTATCAAAAAGATCCCACATTTATCACCAAACGAAGCCTTAGGCGAGCCTCCAAAACGACATACTCTTCCAAATAGCCCAAGCGTAGCCCGAGCTCTGATACCACTTGTTGAGCGCTGCGGAAGCCAAAATCAAACCAACGTGCTTTGAGAGGCTAAATCAAACAAACGTCGAGAGAAGACCAAACGAACCAAATCAATATCACAAACACAAACAACCAATTTTAACGTGGTTCAGCAAGTTGCCTACGTCCACGGGGGCAAGAAAGGGATAGAGTTTTTCACTAATAGAGAAGAAGAGTATAAACTGAGATTACAAATCACTCAAACTCGCCAATTAATCTCACTAACAATCTCTAATTCTCTCCAAACAAAACCCTAACCAATAGCGTAGAAAATACATCTTTTGTGCTTCAAATAGCTTAGAAAATACATCTTTTATGTGCTCCAAATATCACCAATTTTCTTCTCAATTCTATCTTCCAATTGTTCCATATATATAGAAATCCTAAAATCATAAGCATACTAGGAATTCTAAAACAAAAAACAAAACATATTAGGAATCCTAATAACCTGTTATCAAAACAGATTAGGAATCCCAATAACTTGTTACCAAAACAAATTAGGAAACATATTAGGAACCTGCTATCCAACACTTTCAACATTCTCCGTATGCCAAAAAGGGTATTAAAATATTGTTTATAAAGTTTTCTTGCAAGCAACCGTTTGTGCTGAAAGAAAACACATCCGAAAGCGTGTTAAGCATGGTTAGAGCCGTCCGTAATTGACTACCATAACCGCAAACCAAACTATACACCGGTCCCAATCATGGAAATTAAACAGGAGACACAAGGAAAACAGATCTTAACCATTGCTTTTATAAATGACGGTTTAGAACAAAAGTTAACATGGGCCTATATGGCTAATACATGAACAAATTGTTACCAAAGAAAGATTGATACATCAACAAAATAAGAGGTTAACACAATCACAGAAAACCACCCGTTATGCTTCTCCTATACCTAATTGACAGACAAAAGAGGTTCAAATCACCGAACCCAAATCGCCTACACCATCTCCTTCAACTCCTAATTACAACACCAAGACTTTGTCCAAGTCGAAAGAATGAATTGAATCAAATCAGCAAGCTTCATAACTTCGGATCCGTTACCCGTTACTGATAACAGCAGACTTGTTTCGTCGATAACCATCATGTACAAGTGTAAATATTTCACATTTCTCCTGTACTTCATTTTTACAGGTTACATCACCCCCCCTTTATAATACCTGGTGGGCCTAATTGGGCTTGGACTGCAACTTAGCCTGCTGCTGAGCCCAGTAAGAATGGGCCAAGAGAACCCGGTCCAATAACTCTTGGGGGACCGGTTCACCTCGCCTCTGCTGAGGCGAGATCCTCGCCGTATGCACCAAAGTCTTCCATTTGTCCTGTAATCACAAGAACAAAGCTATAAATGTTATAAACTAATCTCTAAAGGCTAATTAGCACTTAAATACGTTTCGCCAACTTTTCACTTAAATACCTTTAGTTGAATTCTGTCGCATTCATATAGCCTACACTTTCCTCCATTAAATTCAGTAGGTGATGTTTTTTGTTGCTAAAAGGATGATAATACCCTTGGTTAAATAAAGTTAGTGACACAAGCTCTAAATTTATCATTTATCAATCAAATGGAAATTTTGTAAGGAATATTCTGAAGATTGTTTAATGGAAGGTATTAATGCCTTTTTTTCTTTTGAGAAATAAAAACTTTAGGGCATAAAAGTGCAATGCAGTACAAGCGAGGGTATATAAGTAGAGTAGGTCAAACTTTTAAGGTGTTTCACTGCTAATTAGCCATTAAAAACAGTGAAAGGTCCACTAATTTCAATCAGAACAGCCTACTATCTAGTTCCCTCAAAAAAAAAAAAGATAATTGTAAATAGTCTTGAGTGAAAAAGTGAATACATGCAAATAGTATGAATATGATGGAAATTAGAATTGAGTATGATACAAAGAATTGAAATTAATTGTGAACTCCAGTATAGTAGAGGTTTGTGACAATGTAAGTGGACTTCAATTTGTCCTGTAATCACAAAAAAATAACCAATCTCATACATGGTAGCGGGTCTACATTGAGTTGCCTATTGAATTTGAATACAGTTTCAAGACTTCAATCAGTTCAATATAAATTGCTCACTCAAAAAAAACCGTGTACTGTTGGCGTACACGGCTTTTTGTTATCTTGTGCTTCGCAATTAGACGATTATGTACAACAAAAAGCCTTGGTTTCTTGTTGCCAAACTATAAAGAAATAGAAAGTTTAGGTGAATTGGCCTCTAGGTGTCCACCAAAAAGTTTTAACTTAAAGCAACTCTTGTTGAATTGACAGCTAAAAGTATACAAGAAAGAAGAAAGAACTGGTTACCTTAAGATCTACATATGTTCGATGCTTTGCGTTGTCAAAAGCTCTGATCTTGACATCTCTCCACCTAAAGCAAAATATCCAAAACCTCCCAATAATAAGCAAACAGACATTTGCTATGTTTACTTGATATCAAAAGGACTTATTAGCACATACATTTTCTGGTGATAATTAAAATAGTATTTTCTCGTTAGTTTTTAAATTCCTACGGGAATCATGTGGTGATGTTCTCGGCAAATGCACCTCTCTGACCATCACGTGATGCTCACAAGAGTTTAAAAACCAACGGAAAAGTAAAGTCATCATAGTGAACAGGGTTGATAAAATAGAACGACATAATAAATAGCTAAATCCCTATAGTGCGTAAGTTGCATCCGTAATTAACCAGTTTTTTTTATGTATACCTTCCGGTTCCAAGCTTTTCAACAGCTTGAACTAGGGCTTCAACCTCGGCGACCGAAAAAGGTCGTCTGATCCGGCGTTGGACAAGCTCCGTCTGCTTAGGCTTGCGCGAAGGAATTACAGCTAGAGAATCGGAGTTCATGTCCGGTACAGGAACCAAAGCTTTCAAACTTGCATTTTTATCTACAGAAGATGATGCTTCAGTGTGAGAGTGGCCTGAATCATGATCACTCTCAGGACTGTTTAATGTTGAAGTTTGAGGTTGCTCTGGTAAAGTTTCAGGTAGCATTTGATCTATGACAGGTACTGGAGCTGAGATCCTACAGAAGAAGCCGATGTTATTTAGGTTCTGTTTGATTTGAAGCAACTCAAATTGTGAGATAAGTGTCAGTTACATGCAAATGTTGTCGGTTGCAGTTGTAGGCATAGTTATGCTTGTATAGGTCTGTTTTAAAATTTTACAATTTCCGGTTATAGTTATAGCTTTTAGATACTTGTTTGCTATCTATGATTTTTTTTCCTTTGGGTGTGGTTGGGTGGGCTTTTTTTTTTTTTCTTTTTTTTTGGTGGTGGTGGTGGTGGTGTTTTTTTTTTTTTCTTTTTTTTTGGTGGTGGTGGTGGTGGTGGTGGTGGTTATAATTACAGTTATGATATAAAACGATATTTTCAGCTTAAAAAAGATTGCAAACTGCGCCTTATATCTCATCGGGGTAAATCGATGGTTGCAACATGAGACATTTTTGCAACTGCAATTGCAACTGTATTTTATTCAGTGTAATGAAACGAAAAATGGCAAGTTGTAACTGATCCAAAACTATCTAATTGAACGCAATGACAGGCACAACCGTGGCAATTGCATAAAATCAAAAGGCCTCTTAACTGGACATAAGAGTCACATTGATGAGATTCATGGAAACAACATTTATGAGTACCTTTGGATTGGATTCGATAGAAGAAGAGGATTAGGGTCTTCTGGGCTAATGAGTGGTGGTGGAGGAGCTTGAGTTGAATTGGGTTCCAATGAAAACCCTAAATTATCCATCTTATCTTTGTGAGAGATTCCGGCTTGGAGGAGAGTTTGTTTATCGTCTCTGACTTTCTTTCCTTGAAGAAGAACACCAACACGCAGTCCACCTGCAAGTACAGCAGTCACAGCTTCCATAACTGTCCTCTGCAAAGTACAAAGGCAGAAAAGACTTTGTTAAGTTAAACATTATGAATCTCTTGTGTGGTTATTGAGAAACAAGAATCTAGGATTTATAGCATTTTTCAAAATTTTCTCCCGCTGCCAATTTGATATAAAATAGCAATGTGATGACAAATTTAATTTAGTAAAAGCTAATTCAGGCAATCAACATATTCTGGGTATGAAAAGTTCTGTCTATGACCAAAATACAGAGCATAAATGATTGCAGAGCAGGGTCTTGTTTCTATTTTGGATCAAATGAGATCCATCAAGTCTGTCAAGATTAATCTGGCTTTAAATTTCTTCAAACTATTAATACATCGGCTATTATAGAACTTGAGCATAGTAGCATTATCATTGGCTCTAAAAGGCTTCATCTTAAATATGATGCGAAGTATCTGACACAACATACTTAACAAAACAGCAAAATGATATAAATCACTCAATTAGAGTTCTATACCTTCAGCGAACCAACAGTGGCAGTTTCAGGAATCTCAATAAAGAGCTCAGGCACTTTGAAAGACTTTATAGTAAATTTCACTGCAAACACAACGGGATGACAGTTTCAGAACCTCATTCTGCTATAAATGGTTCAATATATTCACTTCAACAGGAGTTATAAATGTTACAAACAGGTCACTAACCATGATAATCACCTGAATCATATGATGATTTTGAAATTGCATGGCCATCATTCCTTTCTATTTGCAAGCCACCAAATTTAGCTGACTTCGGAATCCCTTCACCATAAATACCCCCAACAGCTACTGATATTGGACGATGCTCAAACAATTTCCTTCGCTTGAATGGAGATCTTTGAGTCCTTTGGCGAGTATAGCACATTTTCTTGCTTCCGAAAACTGTTTTCATTTGTACATCTGATAGCAAGGAAACCAAATAAATCCTCTGATTAGTATCAACAAAAAGCTACTCATATGAAAAGTAAACAATGATAATCAGAACTCGCATGACACACCATTATTAGAAAGCTCCCCATCCTTCAAAACTTTTGGTGGCACTTTCCAAATTTTAGATGCCAATAGCTTCCTTATCCTACGATCTCCTATACGTTGAAGCCTAAAGGCTTTCGCGGCATCTGTGCAAGGATGAGTGCACCAAGAAGAGTTCTCGTCACCATCTCCATCAACAAGTTCATTTTTATCTCTAGACTTGGAGAAGGAACTAGAACGAGAAATGGGCACCTTGACACTGCTATCAGAGCTAACCAAAGCAGGAGGTTTAGCATCCAAATCCATTGGATCCTCCAATATCCCTGGACCACTTTGGCCTATCTCAACCTTACCATCAATATCACATTTCATGGCAATTGATGACAATTCACCCTTTTTTCCTTCCAAAGATTTGAGGGTTTGTGAGGGCTTCTCTAATTTACAACTAATTTGCCTTTTAAAGGCAGATTCAGAGCCCAATGTGCTCTCATTGCAGCTCCCCTGATCAAAAACTTCAGCTTTGAATGGCATCTCATTTTCTTGTTGCTCCTGCTTAATAGTAGGGTTGACTGTTCCAGATATTTTACATTGAGGTAAAGAATTTTCTCTCTCTGATAATAGTTCTCCAGCAACAGTGGCAAGCAGATCGAATGCACTAATTTGCTTATTGTCAAGCTTCTTTCTGATAGAACGCTTTCCCTATTTATTAAAAAAGAGAATTAATCAGAGTTCAAAAGCTAGAAAGAGGGGTCTATATATATCAATAAGGTTTAAATACAAACCTTGGCTGATCTAGGAACTCTTGGCATTGGAGGAACTTGATAGCCAATGGATCCATAATCCAATCTCTTGTGCAACACCATATTTCAAATGCTAATAATATCACTATAGAGATAATAACTTAGGCGTCCATAAACTCGGTTTGAATACGAAAATTGAGCTTTTTAGATCCTGTTAAACCAGAAATAGTGAAGATATAAGATATCAACATGCCCATGATTTTTATCGAAAAATTTGGGGGGAACATGAAACACGTATTGGAAAAAAGAGTAATACTATAAGTTGGATTCAAATCAAAGAATTATGTCATCAAATTTTCAATATTGCTAAAATCTCCACAAGCATTTAATTATCAAATAAAAAAAGAGGATAGAAACATGTCATATGCGAAAATACAAAAGATTCAAACTATGAACAGGAATCAATTATATTTATAATAGACCATGTAAAACCCAAAACCTCCCAAAAACCATGAGACCTCAAACCCAGATCAGAATTTTAATAATATGAAATCCCAAAAACCATTAAAATATATCATAGATTATCTTGTCAATTAATAATATGAAAAAATAACATAAATTCAAATTGCATCACCTTGATCATAAATAACAATAAACATAAAGCAACCACAAAACCCTACAATCAACGCTATCAGATCGAAGTTCAAAAAAATCCAAAACAAAAGCATTTCTCAATGCAAACAGATCCAAATTGCCTCTACGTTAAAAAAAACATCTGAGAAATCAATAAAAAAATCAGAAGAGATCAAGCAAAATCTGAATTACCTCCAATAAAATCATAATAAAATGGAACCGGAAAAAAAGAAAAAAAGAAAAAATAAAAATAAAAATTGTACTAAAAACCAAATTTTGATAATTAAAACAACAAACACAGCAAGTTTGAGGTGTCACCTCAGATTTGAGACTAAAACACCCTAGATTCCTCAAATTTAGCGTGCAATTTGAGAGATCACCAAGGGAAAAAAAACAAAATTGAGCTTAATGATTCAGAGCCCATTAAACCAGAAATAGCGACGATCTAAGATATCAACGCACCCATGATTTTTATCCTAAATTACCAGGGAAAAAGCATGAGAAAGGAAGCAATATTACAATTTGGATTGCATCAAAATATTCTATTGTCAAATTTTGTCAAATATTTGGATACCATAATGTAAATTAAACGAGATTCAGATATTAAATAGAAAATGTAAAACCCAAAACCTCCCAAAAACCATGAGATCAGAACTTTAATAATGTGAAATCCCAAACAGTCATTTACAAGAAATTAATAGATTATCTCCTCGATTAACAATTTGAAAACCAATAATCATAAAATTAAAATTGCATTGCCTTTGGCAATAATAAAGAACAAGAAACATAATAAGCAACAACAAAACCCTCCAGCAAAGCGATCAGATCGAAATCAATCAGGAAAAAAAGGCTCCATAAACATTAAGAAATTATATTAAATTCCAAAAAAGAAAGATTTTTCAACACAAATGGATCCAATTCTCAAATTGACAAAAATTAGAAGAAATCCATCAACAATTTTTTTTTAAAAAAAAATGGTAACTAGCTCAAAAAAAAAAATCGAGATTAGAGGTTTTGAGATCTCACCTCAGATTTGAGACCAAAACCGCTTTAAATTCCTCAAAGTCTTCGTCCAACTTCGGAGATCGCCTAAAAACTCGACGAAAACGAACAATTTACAACGAAATTGATCAGAAAAGTACACCTGCGGTCTTCAGATCTTAATTCGAACTCACAATTCAAAACGCTAACGCTCTCAATTTTTCCGAATTTTTTTTGGCTTTTTTGACGAATTTTTATTGATTTCTTTTTTCCTTTTTTTAACCATACCACAAAACCCCGAAAACTACCCAATTCTCCTAAAACCCCAGTTCTTATACAGATTGACCACGCCACCGGTTTTACCGGTAAAAACTCCCACGCTCACCGCCTACAGCCGGTCATTTAAACTACCAGGACCGTTTCTGATCATAAGCCACTCTCGGTCCTTCCACGTGTCCACTTCGTCACGATCCAACGGTCTTCGTTTTTAGTCTTAAATAGTGGAAGTTTTTCAGTTAACGCTTTTAAATTTGAATTGTCAGACAGTAAAAATAACTATTTTGCGGAATTAATAAATTATTTGTCGGTTAAAGAGAGAATTTAGGGAAATTAAGGACAATGCTTCAAAAGATGCTATATTTTAGCTCCATGTGTCAAGTTGTGAGTGTTTAAGCATGGAAACTATTAAATGAACTTTATTTATTATAGATAAATAATTATTCAGTTTAAGTTAGTCAGAAAATATATAAATGAACTTATTTATTACAGATAAATAATTAATCAATTAATCAGTTTGAGTTAATGTGAAAAATATATCAATGAACTTATTTATTATAGATAAATAATTAATCAATTAATCAGTCTTAAGTTAATCATCTCTTTTCTGGAGGTTTCCTTAATTTCCTTCCATTAGTGACCAATTATTGCATTTAACTTAGTCTGTTAATAAATATTGATTATGTGTGGATTATGAAAATTTCTGCAGAAAATGATGGTAGAGAATCTTGTAAGCAAGAAGAAAATAGTTTATACAACTAGTTGAAACATAAATATGAAAAAGAATTAGTGAAATTCAAGGCTTAACATATTACGTCTTTCTTTCTCCCTAATTTTTTGTGGATTATGCCATTTATTATTATTATTATTATTATTATTATTATTTTATTTTAATTTTTTTCTCTTATAACCTAATCAAAGAGGCGGTAGATATTGGAGCGTGAGAGAATTGCCTATTATTATTTAAAGTTTGATGCCATGTAAGAAAGTACAGTGCCACGTGAAAGGGTTATTGTCTAATTATCCAAAATTATTTAAATATGTTTTAATGTGTCATTTTCATTTACTAATTATCCAAATTTTGAGAAGGAGAGCATCCTAAATAACTATGATGGTGGGTCCCCGAGATACTTCCGTTATGGTTGACGGTGTTTTAAGGCAGAATGTGCTGACGTGTCATGATCGGAAACCACGAATCGTGACGGCGTTAATTCCGGAGATAAGAAAGGGAAGAGCTGAGGCTGTGAACGAGCGAGTAAATTGTGTGGATAAGACTTGAAGACTTGACTTAGATAATTAAAAATAAATAAATGGGAAGTAAATTGTAATGGAGTGTTCACGGTTGGGCATGCAGCGGATAGGGCGGCAGAGGCAAAGGTGAGCAAATATGATCAAGCATGTAAGGACAACCATCACAGTTTCATCTCGTTCGCGTTCGATACGTTTGGTTACCTTGCAGCTGATGCGGTGGAGTTCCTTAGGAGGGTACAAAAATTCATGAATAGAAATGTGGCGACAGCAGGGTCAGCTGAGCACGTGTTTCGTAGGTTAGGTTTTGCAATTTAGAAAGGATTAGTAGCGCAACTTGTTGCCCGCTTGTCATCATCACATGTGTAATTTTTTTCTCTTATTCACTTATATAGAAAACGATTTTTTAATCGTAAAAACAAATTACGAAAAACCACTTTTATGAGAGTAAATTTCGTAAAACAATCGTTAAGTTTGAGTATTTCTCTGATGGGTCCTATTGATGTTCAAAATGTCACCCTCCTTAATTTTCAGGGTTATCGGAAAACCCTCTTTAAATGGTTTTGAGAACCATCCCCCAACCCCCAGCTCAACCCCACGTGCGACCGCTCACAACAGTGTTAGTTTGGGATTTTATGACAAAAGTTAAAGGAAATTTTGTGACATTTTTAAAGGTAATAGGGTTATCACGAATATACCCACGCTTTTAATGGACTCCACTTCCTAAGTGAGAATGAAAGTTAGAAGTAACATTGTTAGCTTAGGGGTTTTATTACAAAACTTAAAAAGTAGGTTTCGCAAAATTTACCCTATAATTTATATCATTCTTCAAGAACCCTCTCAAAAAATAAAAAAAATAAAAAATCGCATTCACAGCATCATGTCCAACCCTTACAATATGCTAGGCAAATTGTCAAATTGGATAATGATCCATGAAAATTATTTTTGAATGTTAGACAAGTGGATTATTTTAGTTCATAATCATATCCACCAAAAATTAATCAGGGGCACCCAGGGTTCTTTTTTGGTGGATTATAATACATGAGGTTTAATTAACCAAGTAAAACATGATCAACTCCATGTTCTCTTTGGTCAGTTTAACAATACTGATAGATTGTAATTTACTCATTTGCCAAATACTCAACTATTGGAAATAGATTATAATCCACTCGTGTAATGAGCGTGTGTTTTCCATACAAGATTTTTGACAGAAAAAAGGTTATACTCAGCCAAATTACCAAACACTCTGGATTATATTCCACTTAGCTAGGCTGGATAATATCCCAAGAGAATGATAATCCAAAGTTCTCAAATTAACATATATGCTCTTACTTTTGTAATGAAATTTCATCTTTCTAATATTGACATTTAAACAACTATATGTTAGTTGTTTCGAATTTTCTTCAAGTAAATTTATGCCGTTGGATAAGAAAAATCTTTAACGAAAATCGATAATTCTGTATAGAGAAGAGAAGAAATCATGTAAGAACACAAAGTCCCATTGATTATTCTCTCTCTCAGTTGGATTAGCGTAGTGACACAGAGGTATACTTCTGCTGTTTCCAATCAAAAATGTGTTTATTTTATTGAAATATCTACTCTTAGTACTTCTTTAAATGCTTATGGGGGCGACCTAGGCATCCTTATTTCTTAAATATTTTCTTTCTCCCTAAGACTAAGAAGTATCTTAAAAGCATCTAAAATGTGGAGATCTAGGAAAAAAAAAAGTTTTTTCCATTATAAATCTCTACCCTTAAACTTCCAGAAAATTTAATGTTTCTTTTCGCGATTGAATTAGTATTTTGCTACTTAGCCTACTTCTAAAACTTTGTGAAATGAATGGAAAACATACTAGTTTCGCTACCTTCTATTCACTATCGCTTAATTTTAAAAGTAACTTCTTAAATCTCCTTATTAATTACTTCTAACACTTGATTCAATCTAGAAAAATTCCTCAAGGATCTTAATGATGGTCAACTCTTTATCCAATAGGAGGGGAACACCTCACTTGTCCCCTCGATTGGTCCCATATTTTGGGTCCCTGTAGTAAAGCTCTTCAATATAAAACGGACCCCATTACCTTTATTCCTTTCTTAAATAGCGAATTTATTTAAATTTAGCCAAATATAAAAAATTAACAGACCTTGATCACGCGACACGTGTCCATACTGGACCCGCCTGCCAAGTTTTACGCGGTTGTCTTTCTCCTTCGAGGTTCCGACCTTCCCTTGCTTACCACGTGCAATTTGGTCCCTGTGGATGTGCTGGTCTGAGAAGCAACGGTTGTTTGCAATTTAAACCCTCAATATTCCCTATGAAGCTTAATTGCTTAAATGCAAGTATTACACATTCCCAACTTTATTTTTCGTGTTAGATTTCACTCATTTAGATTTGTCCAGGGACATTTAATTTGAGTAAACGGTAAGAGGAAAGATAAGAAAATTAAAAGAAGGAAGTTGGTCAAAATTTTGAATTAGGATGTCACCCCACTCTGACTAAGTCATTTTCTCCGTTAGATCAGCAAAATTAATTTTTATTAACACGGATGAAAATTTTACATGCATGCATGTGGCGCACTTGATAAGCTTTGATCCTTAATGTGAAAAACAAGTTGACTTAATTTTTATTTACATGCATGCATGTGGCGTACACGATCATCATTTGTTTAAAAGAATTTTGATTTTTTTCCCTTACATAATAATAACACATTTAAAAAAAAAAACTAAAACAATGCTCTTACAACTTATAAATACTTCAGATTAACACATCGGAGGGTTAAAGTTTGATAAGTAGACTGTCGCAAATTAGAAGATGGAAATATTACCGAAATCTACAAAAGCAAACTTTCAGCTGTGGAGTTTTGTGGGGCCAACGGAGAATTTTTGTATCCCGTGGGCCCCAGCGTCGTGCCGTCATCACGTGCCTGTAGTAGAGAAGCTGATGAGGGCTGCGGAAAGAGCCGCGACCGGGACGAGCGAAACACGTGCTTGGCGGTTAAATACAACTACATAAAAACAAATATCCTTGTCGAGCGGCTCGAGCCTACGTATTAAATCGTAAAAAAAAGGAGCAAACTATCATGCTTGTCTCTTTAACAATTTCAATCAATGAAATTAATACATGATATCCGTGTAATTAGTATCCGTGTAATTAATAAAAACATATTATATCAGGACTTAATCAGAATTCTTAGTCACAAATTAAAATTTATATTGCTTTGAATCATGTTTTCCTCAATGTCTGTTGATTTTCTTTAGTGTATTCTACAGGATTTTGTTTTAAGGAATTTCTTGACTTACTAGGATCAATAAGACGTCATATTTTATTGGTTGGACTCAGTGCTTATTGTTAGATATTAATTAGTGTTGAGATTCTGGTAGATTGAGATATTACGAGATGTTGTTAGATATGATTTTATTTCATATATATTTTGTAATATCCTCCTAATCTCAGTTTAAGAGAGGATAGGGCTAAATGAATAATAATTGTCTATTCTAGTTCTCTATGTACGGTATCAAAACCAACTTGATCCTAGCAACTTTTCCTATCTTTTTAGATCTTAAATTAATTCCCTAACAATTACACAAAAACTCCAAAGTCATGGTGAGAATTGAAGTTTTATGTTATATAGTCTAACACTTGTATTAACTCTAATGTTTTTTTTACTGATTTGATATTTCATTTTGTACTGTTTTTTTAGTATATTAGAAATAATTATAGTGAAATAACTATGATTTTTCAAAATTTCCCTATTGAGAGAG